GTTCGCGCGAGGCGAACATTCTTTTCTATCCACGGATATTATCCACCTTCTATGCCTTGCAGAGTCTGCCGGGAACTTGTGGAAACTCACTGCGCTGCTTTTCTTGTACATTTCGGTGCAATTAACGGCAACACAGCATCGCGACATGCTGAAATGCTATGACGCCCATGCGAAACGTGCGCGCTTTTGCCCACACCCCCCGGCTCCGGCGCGATCGCAGCGCCGCCGCAGCTCTGTGACGTCAAGCCCGCGTGTCGGTCTTATAAAGGTACCAGCAGATTTCCTAAATGCAAGAGCAACTTTCCATCGCATAATTGACTTGGTGAATACATTATGTGGCCAGAAGTTTCTCTTACCTGCTCGACGTCTATAGGACCTGCTCGTCCCAGTGGTTGCCATCTGTACATAAAACTGGAGGCAGGGCAGGAGGCCAATATTTCTTCGAGCGTTTCACAGATGGCGCCACATCCGTTGTCCTCCTACCAGGACAGCCGTTCTTTCCGCTACCATTTCTGTTTGTTTCAGCTTAAATTCGGAACCAATGTCCACGGGGTTGGACAGGGTGTCTCAGGAGGTTAGACAGATTTAATAACTGATTTCGCAGTACAGATTAAAAATATATCACTTGGAGTGAAAATTGTGTGAGCTTAATTGCCGCAATACAATTCGCAGGTGTATATTATAATTTCGGGCAACACAGAATATTCAGTGTGTTAGCAGAGCCACATTTCGTAGTGTGCATGTTAATAAATTTCCCCTAATCGCTTTTTTCTTTTTCAGTTGCCGCACTCGTGATATAATATCGTCCTTCTACAACCGTGTCCCACTTTTTGCTAGAAGGAAAGTGCTTACCCTAGTTAATGGGGCGATGCAACAATCTTATTTTCGAAAGAATTTGCAGATTTAATTTTTACATTGTTTGTCTTACCAAATGGAATGGAGAAACTGTCTCATTCTTTTGAGATATTGCGATTCTGTTCTGTAATAGCAAAGCAAAGCAAACATTCTGCAATTTGCAGCTGGTGCACGAGGCCAAAAATCTTTATGACTGAAGTAAGGCATGCGAAATCTAGTGGAATGGACTTTACAAATGGAATAAACGGGTATCTAATTTAACAGAATTGCTATCGATAAACTGTAGATACACCAAAAATAAAAATAAACTAAGATTCTAATAATATTGGCTAAAAGACCACGAACCCAAAAAGGAAACTGACCTTGGAAAAAGGTGTAACAATACCTGCTAGGACCAGTGGCGTCACAAGGGGGGGGGGGGGGGGGGGGGCGGAACGCCCCGGGTACAGCGTCCTGGGGGGTGTCGCAACGCGCCATGAGGGGGGGGGGGGGGGGGGGGGCCCGCGGCTGGCGACGAGCGGAGGGGGGGGGGGGGGGGGGGTGTCGTTGCAGTCCATCGCCCCGGGTGCCGCTGACCCTGGTGACGCCACTAGCTAGGACGTAGGGAGAAGTTTGACCAAATGCCAAGGGATCAAATTTAAAGGAATCTCTCAGTTCTGTGTCTGACCTTAGAGCTTCATTTACGGCATTTTCATGGTTCATGATAGTTATAGATTCCAACAAACCGTTTTTGATCTTTTCCTATTAGGGTTATTGAGGTTCAGTGCCACAAAGGCAGTCAATTCAGTTGCATGTTTTGATACTTCCGAGTGCGAAGGTTGTTGTTTTTTATGCAGAGTTTGTGTTTGGCGAGACGATCGTTCAAACAGCACTTTGTCTGTCCTATATAGCATAAACCGCAATCCAAGGGGATCTTGTACACTACTCCCGACTTGCAGTTAACTTGTTTTTTTTTCTGTTTCTTAGTGCAGCCGACTCGGGCGGATGCAAACGGAGTCATTCGACTCGGGTTGTAATCATTGCTGAACACTGTGCTTACATCGCACCTCTTGTCAATGGATCTAACATAATGAAAAATTAGTGAGAAAACGGAAAAACCAGTTGCTTCGAGGGTTGAAGAATATCCTGGTACTTTTTCTTAACGGAAACGAGGAGCAACAGCTGTTTGACGACGTAATCCTTTGGGTACCCAGCCTTTCTAAAACAGTCAAACCGGCATTATAGAACAGACCCAATGAAGTGCAGAACATGACTTTTTCAGAGCACTACTGACTTGATCGCAAACAATGCCAGCCTTTGCGTGTTTAGAGTGCCAACTATGTAGTGGCAGGAGTGGTTTTGCAGTTGGCTTGCCATATTCCCAGCACAAACTGGAAGGATGTCTCAGCCATAGATCTAAAAGCTGTAAGTTACCACTTTCCGGTCTATCTACAGAATACTTTAACTCCAGAGAGCTCTTATGAACAGCATTTTCAAGTGATGCTGCTACCATGCAATAGGTTGTCGACATGTTTACAAAAATGCCACAAGGGGAACAGTTCTGGATGAAATCGTGCGGCTTAGTTCTAGAAAGCGTAAATAAACCTCTGACAGAACTGCGGCAATTGCTGAGCCGGTAAGTATTCTTCGTTTCTAAATGAATTCCAGACCGCATATGAAGCCATACCAAATCGTTTCCCAGGAAATGACTTAGATGTGCAAGCAACATCTTGGGTTCTAGCAAGTATTCCAGGTCTCATGTCCATGGAGAATACAGTGCAGTGCTTCCCATGAAAAGGCGTACTGTACAACCTAGACATCTGAACAATGCAGGGATAACGGCCTCCCGACTTCCAACACAACACAAGTCGAAGAGGAAGGTCCACCTTATGGTCCTTCAAGAAAAACTTCATTCCAAAGGTATCTCTCGAGAGTCCGTTCATCCTGGAGACCAACGACGGAAGTTCATTGCCTCTCGGAATACCTACAACATCCCTCTAACTCTCTAATGGTAAATTCCACTGGTAGACCCGGAGTGCTTTCCAAAATCCCCGAAAGGAGGCAAGATTCCGCTCCGTAGGACCCGGTCTAAACCGACGAGAGGAAGATGGACTCGCATTATTGGAGCCACCCGCCGACCTGCCCGAGACTGTCGGCCATTCAAAATGGCCACTGCACGAATTCGACAAGCCGACCAACGCCTCAGCCGACTGATCTTTTTGGCGACCAGTCACAACTGTCACAGCTTAGCTGCAGAAATAACACGCGACACAGACAGAGTGAAAATTTCCGTACAACGGAGCCCATGTCAAATAAGGAGGAAGACGTCTGCATTGGCTACTGTCGCATACCTTTTGACCGCCTCGAAGCGGTGGGGCACGCACAGTGATCGCCATCGGTGGAGTTCAGATTGCTGGTAAGACTTTAATAAACATAAAGAGGTAACGAACCATCACTCGTACGGTCGTTGTTTAATCTGTTCTTACTTCGCGAATGCGAAGTAAGAACAGATTAACACTAACACGGGATTGTGACGGCTCAAATGCTTCTACCTATCAGGGATACAAAGCCGGGACTGGAGAGTGGCAAATCGTAAGCGCTGAGATCTGTGATCGTTAGAAGAAGAATGAGAAAAAGAACAGCAGAAAATTTGAAGGAGGCAGACGAAGGGTTAGGCCTGTTCATTTTGCCGCCACTGATTGTGTATGTTTTTACACTTCATGTCGGTGGCTTTTTCTCGCGCAATAAAGCAAGAACAGATTAAACAATGACCGTACAAATGATGGTTTGTTACCTCTTTGTGTTTATTCAAGTCTTTACCAGCAATCTGAACTCCACCATTGGCGATTGTGTCGCGTGTTATTTCTACAGCTAAGCAGTGACACTTGTGACTGGTCGTCGGAAAGCTCAGTCGGCTGAGGCGTTGGTCGGCTTGTCAAGTTTCAGCAGTGGCCATTTCGAACGGCCTACCTTGTGGGGCAGGTCGCTCCAAAAATGTGAGCCCATCTTCTGCTCGTCGATTCGGAGCGGGTCCATGGGAGCTGAATTTTGCCTCCCTCGCAGATTTTGCAAAGTGGTCCGGATCTCCCAATGGAATTCCCCATAAGACTTTTTCCAACACTCATCCACTCAAAATACAGCAAATTTACCAGATTTGTCACTTTCATGAGGCATCACGTTTGTGGTGTCCTCTGTGACACCGCAAGAAGGAATGCATCACCCAACTCGGTCCAAGTTTCAAATTCGAATGCTCTTTTTATTCAACGAAAGAAACGAAAACATGCAATATGAGGAACAGTATGACGATGATGATAACGTGCATATGTTGCCAACAAAGCAGAACATAGCATTTTTAATTTTTTCTGCTTTTTTTGTGGAAGCAATATTTAATAAATCGCAATTTTAGCTATCTTCAACTATGGAGTCTACTCTAATCAAATGCTTTGCACAGTCATGTTTATGCTTTGCGCTTAAATGGAATAAGAGCCAATTGTTTATATTATTGTGATTTTTTCAATAAATATGAGGTGCTGGAAAGTGGCAGTTTTATTTCTTATACGACAAAAAAGTTGTCCGAATAATTTTTCCTATGAAAGGTCTCTTTTAGTGTCAGACATGCGGGAATATAGGAGCTCTCCGCCAACCAAATTTTGTAAATGAAAGAATGTGTGCCCGTCTGTGTCTCTTCACTTCTATTTTTTTTTGCTAGAAATGTGTAACAAGTAGATGTTGTAAAAAGATAGGTACATATAAAAAAAAAGATAGGTAAATTGATAGCAAATTTTGTTGAACTTCACGAGCCTTACTTTAGTAATGAAAGTATTAGCCCACTTTTTAGTTTCCCTTTCTGCCTCGGGAAGAGAGAGGAGAGGAAAGGGAGGGGAGAGGAGAGAGGGAGGGAAGGGGGAAGGAAGGAAAAAACTGTAGAATATCTAAAAGGAAACAATCTGACGTTGGAAAAATAAGGACAACAAAAGAATTACACATTCGTCTCCTGAACAAGTACAGTAGGTATAACCTAGAACATGCTTTTGGTTTGGGCTTTAACAAATGTATCCAGAAATGATCCATGCTCATCCAATCGGTTGTCTCTAATTTCGCAGTGTTCCCTGCCTGCCATCAACGGAATGGGCGACGGTGCAAGACTGGAAGTGGCATCCTTCCGGGTGGCCGAGTTCTCCGACGCCCTTGACTGGAGGCCCATGCTGTTCCAAGAGCCGGTCATTGCGCAAAGAGCCTGTGCCCTGTGCGGCGTCGTGTACAAGAAAGCAGTCAGGCTTCCCTGCGCCCACACGCTGTGCACAAAGTGCCACGCTCAGTGCGTCGACAAAGGAGGCGCATGCCCCGTCGACCAGGAACCGTTCTGCGAGGAAGATCTTGAGAAGCTGGAGTTATCTGCCGAGTACATTTGGAAGCGTAAGGTGAGTTGCCCTAACCCATTGACGGAAGTGCTGCGCCATTTGTGCCAAACACTACCACAAACTCAACTCTGCTACACATCGCGCCCAAATGTAAAGGCCCGTTCACACTCTTGTCTTTGCGACCTCTTAAACCTGGGTTCCTTAAAACTTCTTAAATCAAAGAACACACTGGCGCCATCTATTGGGAAGCAGTGTAAACTCGGCGGTCCGTCTCATTTTTTTTTTATTTCTCGCGCATTATCCTCTTTTTCTTGGCTCAAAAAACTTTTGTCAATGTTATAAACGACCCTTTCTATGGGTATTACGCACATTTGACCTCGGAAATCCCGCAAAACCTTCGTTCTTGTGAAATGCAGTTCCAGGCTCAACGCATAGGTGGCGCCACAATGCCAGTGTGTTCCCTCATTCCAAAAACATTTAAGAAGTTTTAAGAGATCTCGTCTCTCTCAGTCGTACTCGGTCGCAAGAGTGTGAACGGGCCTTAATTTTCGCTTAAACATTCCCTTGAACGTGCACCAAGATGAGCTTAAACGAAGCAAACAGTAAATTAAAGGGACCATGAAATGACCTTTTTACTTTTTCCAGATAAATTTTACATTAAACCGTCAATGTTCACTGAATGCCGAACAGGCATCCGTTTTCGTCTTGGTTTATTAACTTCTACACAAAAAATTAATGAAGTATAGACTTTTTCTTTCTCTCCAACTGACCGCAAAACCAGCCGTGACGTACACTGTTTCCGGAACCGGAAGTTTTCTGGGCAGTAGGAGAATGGGAGCGTTAGCGGCGACGAGTTGGGATGCGCTGGTAGGTTTTACTGCGCTGTCACCGACGTATTTTCTGAATCGGCGCCTCTCATCGCCGCATCGCAGCTGAGCGAAATTCAATGAGATATGTTGCGCTACAGCGACAGCATGGGACTAGTCCCATACACCGGTATGCCTGTTGGGAAGTGCAGCGAGTCTTCCGGTGAAGACTCCAGAAGTCAACCCAACTGTTATTGTTGGTAAAAGGCGGCCCGTGTCAGTCGTTTGCAAAGCGACGTAGATGGAAACATATTGCCGCGGCGTTTTTCGCGACCTCAGAGATGCAGGAGCGAGCCGACATTAAGAAAGATATGTTTGAACTACGAGTGTCGGCAAGAGCCACGTAAATACCTGTTCACACTCGGAGCGGACACGCACGTTTGATGGAAGTGCTATATTCGCGCTGTTGGTAAGCGCTTCGGCACCAATCTTTTACGATTGCAACTCGATACTGACGCGACACTCGGCAAAGAAAGGTTGGACCGGCATTGCACGTATACCTCCCACGAACTGTTATAGCTCGACAGTGACGTGCAGTCTGTCAGAATAAAAATGGCATACCAATAACAAAGTGTACATACCGTGTTACGAAGGTAATCCATACGGCGTTTATTTCAGTTCTATATCACACAAAAGAAGAAGATAGAATCGACGAGTGTCCTTTTTCGACGAGTGTTCGTCAACACTGCCTCGGAAAACAAGGGGAAGAGATTGGCCTCACCTCTTAATCTAAAATTGAGCTCAGCGATCAAACTATAATATGGGAAGGGTCCACAAGGGTAACGCGGGCATATTCCATTCAGCACGCCAGCCGGTCGTAGGCAGACGGTCTTGCGACGAAGCAACGCTGCGCCGAGTCGGAGTGCCTTCTAGGCCTATATTCTGAGCAGCTCGCTTCGTCGGAGTCGGTCGATTCGTCGCCGTTGTCGCTTTTCTTGGGTGTTTGTGGATCCAGCGTTCTTGTTCGTCGTGGTCTGTTTTAAATACTTTTTTTCTTGCTGCTTGAAGTCGGCACGCGCGAGAAGAACACGTAGAAAAATAAACGTTCAGTCAGTCAGAGTTTTGAGAGGAAGGAAATCAAAGGAAATAACCGTTTGTCGGTCGTCGCGACCCAAGCGACCCAAGTAACTGAAGTCGGCCCTGCCCTACTGCGCACGCGCAGTAGTTGCTTCGTTTACCACACGATAGATGGCGCTTGGCTCTCAGCATTATCAAATTTGGCAATTTTCGCCACACATCTCTAATTATGCTACAAAATGTGGATCTGAATATTATTTAACAAAACTTTTAGGAAACATTCGCCGGCTATTTGTTGTTTACGATCGCGGTGCTGGTGAGGTAGGCTTTTACCCAATAGGCGACGTGGATTCGGCTGACGTGCTCCGTTTCCGCGGATGCATCGTAGTGAAAAGGCAGCGAGCTTTCGAAGGAAAGAAGGCGCAAAAGAGTCTAGTTTTCTTTTAAAAGTTCTATAGCAAATAATTTTTTTTGGCTCCCTATTTTTGTGTTTTTGTGTTTCTTTTCACACCTTTTACGATGTGCGGTGGATGAAATTCGATTTTAAAATCATTTCATGGTCCCTTTAATATACTTTGGCACTAACATTGAAAGAGGTTGAAGAGAAGGAAAATGGTAAAAACATGTATTTCACGACTCTACTCATCGTAACTAAAACCCTCCCGTCTACCGTGCTGCTGATGGCATCGTCTGCACTTCCAGGCAGTGATGTGAGCAATGTCATGAAGCTAGTAGCGATAAAAGTCTGTAAAATGGTGGCATGGCGACTGCTGTGATGAGACAGAACCAGGGTTCCGTGCTCCTGATGAGATGACTTGATTATCGTCTGAACCATATGCCTCCACTCCCTGGCACTGTCGCCACTTGCGTTATCCTTCACCAACCCGTGTCAACCGCTCCGGTCTTCAGACATTGAGAGAATCTTTTCTCAACATTAAAGCTTCCGTTTTCTCAACATCAAAGCTTCCGTTTTCTCAACATCAAAGCTACGGTGACGTGTCATTCTGTAGTCTGGTCAAGCGGTCTCTTACGAAAATTGCCTTGACAAAGTTCAGTGGTGCGGTTGTTTCACCAGTTGCGCCAAACTGCACCAAGCGGCTAATCCTGCACATTTTGCCGAATAATGGGTAATCTGGGCCGAGCGGGCGCCAAAAATTACAATTTCTGTCGCCTCTCAAAAGCGAAACTAAACTGAGTACCGTAATTGATCATGTGTGTGTTATGTGGCGCAAGCGGCCGCCCGACACAAAGTACCCTGCAATAATCGTCCACCCGCTCTTGCATGGTTTTCCCGCCGTCTCGTGTTTCGCACTCTCGACGTCTCGTGGGTCTTGTCTAGCGTTTTTTTTTTAAATATTTTCAACGATAGATATGGGTGTGTGCAAACGCTCTGACGCTAGCATGCGGGGTACCAGCCATCCCGTCGTGCTGTGAAACTAATCCACGTTTTTGCACAACGGGAGTTATTTTGTGAGCTGAATCACTTGCTCTTGAAAGCAATGGCCGTGGGAACACTATATTTGGTCCCTGTCTTCCAGTCACCGTGTTCACGTGACGTTGGGTGTTGCCATCCCCAGGTCGATGCGGATATGGCGCTTTCTAAAATGAAACTAAGTCCTCCGCATGTTCATCAACATTCTTGTTGCTTAAATGGTATGTTACTACAAAAATCCCTATTTAACTCGAATACTGCTGTGTCTAAGTATTGATTAGTACCTAGGTTTTGCTTGGTGGGCCCTCTTTCGAGAAGGACCCCGGTATGTGAAAAATCTGCCACGAAAGAAAGTTGAAGAGAAGTGAGCTAAAGCAAAGGGCGCAATGTCTGCACGCTGCACGTGCACTGTGCTGCTGGACTGTTTTTTATTGTATGCTTGACAGATACATTTTGCATGCAATCTTGGAAGTCGGTCGGCGATGGAGCAAAGTGGCATGGTTTCAGTTTCGATCAAACAGCCATTGTCTCCATTCGCGCGACGAAGCACGCGCAATCACAAGCCTGCCAAAGCTGACCTCACATGAATGCAAACATGGTTGCACGACAAAGGCACCAGCCGAGACGCTTGCAATTTATTGTTACTTTTGACGAAAATCTGGCAGGTCGGAAACCATCAAAATGGTGGCAAGTTTTTTGTTTTTTTTTTAATTGCGCGACAATGTTTACAGTTTTGTACACTTTTGGGAAACACAAGCAGTGAGTTCCGTCACAACACGTCACATCAGAACACAACATAAGACAAAGTGTCCTTCGTTTGTACACCACTTAAAACACATACCATATTTGCTCGATTCTAAGCACTCCCTTTCACATCCGCGATGTTCAAAGGGGGGGGGGGGGGGGGTGCTTATATTCGGAACATGGCCCGGAAATACAAAATTTGCACCAGAAATATGAATTTATTATAATCAAAATGAAAGAGTAAATGTTCTAAAGGAAATAAATAAAGACTGGAGAGTAGCCCGCTTGCCATCAGTTTGCACCACGGTCGACTAGTTGCTCTCACAACTAGTCTTTTGAGCATGATGTAGGGCGCAAGTTTCCGACCGTCGGCTGTGATGCACAGCATAACGGTCACCCTTTTCTTCTCATTGCCAGCCGTATGCACTTTTACTTCTCGGGCGCCTACTTCGTTCTAGGTGCACGTCCTTGGCATGTCGATGTACACAGGGGTCTCATCGGCATTGCCGATCTGCCCGAGTCCGTGGCGAGATTGGCGACGCAGCTTCATCACATAATGTTGGAAGTTAACAAGCTTGTCCTCGAAGTCCACCGGTAGCTTCTGGCAAATAGTGGTGCGGCGTCTCAAAGAGAAACCGTTCCTCTTCATCATCTGCTCCACCCAGCCTCGGCCTGCGCGGAACGCCGCACTGCGAACTGTTTAGCAGCGTTGTGATTTCCATTGTCTTCCATGTTAGAAATAACCGTTCTCTTGAACTTCACTGTGTACGAAGTTCTCTTCGCACTCATGATGGAAGACTTCTGCAAACCACGTGCGCACAGTGAACGGAATATTACTGCGAGGCCAACACGGACAAAAAGGCTTAACAGACTAAACAACCGACTGCAACAAGCACAAGGAGACCAAAGAGACGAAACGCACCCCCTTTCGCAACATGCATGGATGCGAAAGTGGAAAAATGGCGGTATGTGCTGCCATCTATTAACTGACGTTGAAACCAAGCACCAGCGGCCGTTTGCGACTCCGGCGCTCTGCGATACCAGCGTCTCCAATCTCAAATTTCTTGTTGGGAGGGGGGTGCTTACATTCGCATGCAAACTTTTTTTCATGTGTTTCTATTTGGAAGTGAGGGGGGGTGAGGTTGCTTAGAATCGCGAAAATACGGTACATTTTTCTGAGAAGATCTGATCCAAATCTGGGAACTAGTTGGCCACTCAGTTTCGTTTTCGACTGAGCAGGTTCATCTCACGCCGCGACCGAACGCGCTGCTTTCGATTTCGATTATCTGACTTTTTACGAATTTACAATACACTCATTCTCGAGCGATAGAAAACGAAGTCCGGAGCACTTTTCTTGGTTCTTGAAACACCGGATATTGTGCGTGCGTATGCAAACGTAAGACGTGGCTTAGTCACCTAACCCCGCAATTGCATCTTTGAGCTCAATGTCAGTAATCCCGTCTAGTACCAGTGAACTACAACTGAAATTTGGTCACCTTGAGCCCTACACATATTTTGTTTGCCAAACGTCACTTCTTGTTACTTCATTGGGCGGAAAGCAAGCGGCATCCTCACAGGATTATCAAAGTTGAGCCCAGCGTTGGCGAATGAACTTTTAAGGAAACGCAATAAATTCGACCTGACTACCGCACCAAAGTTACTATGATGTCTTCCTCGTGTCATCATATATCTCCCACTCAAACTTTATGCTGATAGAAGATTGAGTTTTCGGAAACGCCGAGATCAGCTAGCTATGACGGAGGCCTTAACAAGCGTCCCCTACTCTTCACTAAGACTTTTTGGACGAGCTTTTCCTGACGCCCAAGATCTGTGCCAGAGCGGTGTGTCTGAAATTATCTCGGCATACTCAGTGAGGAAGAAAGCAAACACATAACAAATATTATGGCCATTAGCAACCGTCAAATGCGCTTTGAATAATTTCGTTCGTTTGGCGCACCGCATAGGGGTTCATGCCCGTCCGGCGCACTTCAGGCGAACGGTGCGACATTCTTCACACAAGTGCTTGACTTTTGCTTTCTTAAAACGGTTTGTATGTGCGAATGTGCCTATACGATTGCAGGATAACTTTATGCGCATACGCGATGTTGAATATTAGTGGAATGCAAGCGAGTGGGGACTTTGCCTTGTGCAGTGCTGCGGGGCAGTACAGATAAGAGGTGAGAAGTGTGTTCAAATCAAGCTTTTCAATGGGGCCTCCGAGTGTTACCTCGCGTATTCAGACCTGCAAAAAGTTATATTTCGTCAATGGACGCAAGAAACAAACTTCCTGATCAACAACACTAATGAAAAGGCGCGAGCTACTTACTGGTGTCTACAGCTTGTTGATTCACCAACAAGCAAGGTCCCCGAGTTTCGCAGCGTTGAGATTCCCAGCACTGGCTCGTCCACATACCTCGGAACGCTAACAGAAAGGCTCAAGTACAAAAATACAACAAGCATGCGTTAAGACAAGCTATACGTCTCGAGCTTGTGCTAAAGCTTCGAGGTCTGGCCATCTAGGTTAGTTTACAGAATGACGTGCTCGGGACAAGAAAGCGTGAGATAACGGCCGTTAATAGTCCACGCTCTGTGTTTGATCTCTTGTCCACGATTGAAAACGAAACCATGGCACTCTTCTCCCTGACCAACTAGTTCCCAGAGTGCAACGTGCGCCGTGTTGCATGCAGGGATTTATGGAAGTAGTCTAAAATCGGAGAGTCCCGGACAAAAGCTCACCGGGCAAAAGCTCACCCATTTTTTAACAGACCCGCGGGCAAAAACTGACCAGAAGAAAATTTGATGTTGGTCTTGTAGAGAGTCGAAGTTTAGAGAAAAAGGCGATGAGCCTCCTTTTACGAATCGGCCACCGCGAAGCAGCGTGTACGGATAAGTAAGGTGAGTTAACATTTTTGTAATGAGCCGCCGAAGAGTGCCGCCGCGAAGTGGCGGGAGCGCAGCAGGGGGCTTGGGTTTACATGCGCACTAGTTATACACGCGCGAAGTAGAGAAGCCTTTTTTGAATAGCGTCCCCGTTTCGATAAACGGCATATTTCTAAACTGAGGCTCTGCTTTCTCTAAACCGTGCTTTGATAAAACGTGCCCGTTCTCTAAAACATGTTTCGACGAAATGGCATTCAGTCAACCGTAGTAAACCTTTGCTTGGGATGGGGTACAAGTTCACCTAAAAATGGTGCAATGTCCATCACGTCCGCATTTTATTTCAGCCCTTGTTTCGCCCGGGTAACGAAAACAAAATGAGGTGAGCTTTTGTCTGGGTCTGTGCAAAAACGGGTGAGCTTCTATCCGGTGAGCTTTTGTCCGGTTACCGCATCATTTGCCGGCCGATTGTTCGGACTCGAGGGGAACCCGAAATTGTCCGAATAATCAAGCGGTCCGAAAAATCGATTTTAGCCAAATTATCACATTTCTGCGCATATTCTGCTACGTATTGGCTACTTTCCACTTGCCTGATGTCAAATTTAAGTTCTCGTGCATTTTCACTTGTTTGTTGATCTGTTTGATCATGGTGCTGCGCTTTGTCGGCTCCTTCGTTGCTACAAACAGCGAAGTTGAAATTGGCGCAACTTGGGCACTATTTGTAGGCAATGTTTAGTTCACCAAGCTCGCTTCAATACTAAGCCTGTCGGCAAAAAAGCCTTAGTACTCAAAGACCACAAAAACGGCAGACGGCCACTTTTTTCTCGGTCACATTCGAAGAACACTGACCACGAGAAGAACTGGAAGAGCCATAAGAATGGGCAGACGGCGGCCATGTTGGCTATTGCGGAACCAAAAAACCGACTGTGGCCTCAACCCAACTTGTTTATTGCGTAGGACGTGGCATCGATGCTTCAGGGCAAATCAAAACAACCAAAAGGGCGGCGCTATCGCGGCGGCTGTTTTGTGGCTGTAAACTGGGGAAATCGTGCGAATTATGTCCGAAATATAGAGCAATAAGCTTTAGGCGTCCGAAATTTCGGTCAGTGTTATACATTAACTCAATGGGGTGAGTGACGGTTCGGCGAAAACGTCCGAATAATCGGACTGGTCCGAAAAACCGGCGTCCGAAAAATCTATCGGCGACGGTATAGGGAAATATCGCCTTTTACCCAAAAGCATGGGGCGCTGTACTACCATGAAATGCCGACACAATATTTCCCCGTAATTCTTGCGGATCAATGGCTTTGTGGTCTTATGAATATAGAAAAAGTTAAAATCCGGTAGATTTATGAATTTTCTTTTCATGGCCCTTTTAAGGTGGAGCAAAGTATTGAGATTTTCTTTTATCATTTGAATTTCCAAGCAATGTCAGAAGCTAAAAGTCGAGAGAAGAAAATGTGAAATTGTGGAATGGCAGTTACTCTGATAAGGCAGAATAGGGGTCTTTTACTTGCGAAGATATCACTTGATTATCAAGCTTGCAACCTGCCTTCATGCCATAGGCTGCAGTGTGCTGTGGCACTTGCGCCAAAATTCACCGCTTTTCATCTGTGTGCCTCTGTTGAGCTTCACTGGTTTGCACCAGAGTGTTAGGTGCAGCGGCTGAATTTGGGAGTGCCTAGGTTAATGCGATATAAAGCTCTTTAGGTGTGCTAAGCTCGGAAATTATACTTCATACTATTACAGTTCGACCTTCTTTGGTCTTGATTGGAGGTTGATCTCCAATATTAAAAAGCTCTGCCATTAAAAAAAAAGTTGTGTTTATACACAAACAAATATGTTGCGTCACGCCGCAGTGGTGGCACGGCGGGTGCACTTCCAATCGGGTTGTGGGCGGGAGTCGCTATGCAGGACGTGCATTCCTGTGTTAAATATTTTATATTCAACATTCTAATTTTTGGCAGCTATTTAACACTATTCAATTTGAAGTCGATTCGGGCCAGGATTTTACTATTTCCACACTTTTAAAGATAAAGTATCCAGCCTTAAATAAAACAAACCCTCCAGAGAGATGAAAGATGGTTTGAAGTTAGAGTAACATCATTCTTGGTACCGAGCAACATTTTAACATCAATTTTTTAGCGTTTATCTGGTTACTAAAATATAAAAACTGGAACCGCAAAAAACGAGACTAAACCAGTTTAAAAATATGATGGTAACTATATTTATTTTACCTTTTTTTTTCACTTTTTCTAAGGTTGCCTGTTGGAATGCATCTAGTGGCTGCAGCTTCATCGGCACTGTAGCCAGCCTCTTGGACCACTACAAGGAGTGCGGCCTGAGCGTCGTGCCTTGCTGCCTCTGCCGCTCGTCTGTGTTGCAGTGTGACGTTTTGGAGCACTTCCAGAGTGGCTGTGGCATTCACGAAGCAATATGTCTGCCTTCCAAGAGCCTCACCACAGAAGACGCGAAGGATGTCAGCACAGCCTATCACCAAATGAAGAGAGCCATGGAGAGGATCTCTGAAGATCTGGTGTCGCTGCAGACCAGCCTGAACCGGTGCAGTGAAGATGTTAAAGTGGAAGGTGCAAAATGCAAGGTCCTATGGGAGGCTCACGTTTCTAGGCTTGCTGAGCAGCTAAGGGACCTCAGCACAGTCTGCACCACCCAAGTTCCCGAAGCAATGCAAGTTGCTCTCCAGGCAGGACTGGCCGCCTACAAAGAGCATGTGAGCAAGGAGCTCAGTCTGCTCAGCCTTTCTAAGCCTACGAGGGTCCACTGGTACATTGAGGGCTGGGCAGACCTGAAGAAGCAAGTACTGGAGAGTGGGTTCAAACAGTTGGTTGGTCCCAAGAGCAACATGTACAGTTACAGTGTCTGCCAAGAGGTCACGCTCAAACGAAAAACAAATGGGGTCTTCTTAGCGTGCTTCATGATGATACACCCCGGGGATCATGATCTCCAGCTGGAGTGGCCCTTCCGCAAGGTGTACACGCTCGGTATCATCCACCCCAAGGACCCATCGAATGTGATATCGCGCAAGATAAATCCTGTTAAGTGTGCAGATAATCTTCAGCATTGCTTTCTGAGGCCCAAAGGAGAGGAAAATAGAGGATGCGGACGGAACCTGACGACAGCAGGGAAGCTCGAAACGGACGGGTTTATTCAAAGCGATACGCTCCACGTGTTCTTGGAGATAGAACCATAATTTCTGTCTTCATCTTTGCTACACCCTGATTAGGATTAAGCGAGTCCTAACTTGTGTAGCTTCGCAGAAAGGGCTTTACAACTAAAAAGGATCATGACTGTTATAATTTCCTTGCGTGTAATATTGCTGTGTATAAAAAACAATGGTTACTTTACGAGTTTAGTTTGTTTTTTAACTTATATTCTCTGTACTCCTTTTTTTAGTACCTATCAATTAATTTTTTCAGCTAGTCGAGAGCCTGCTTGAAAACTCTTTCTGAGCGAGTACTTTTAGTTTGTTTCGTTCAGCTTTAATTAGATTGTCGCTAGTCAACAGGCCTTAGTTGGGCCTGCATAGATCCAAACCTCATTTTTTATTTCAGCCAATTAGTTGAATTGCAGATTAATTAAATTTTGTAGCTGAAACCTAATTTCGATAATAAGTGGTCCATATTTATTTCTTATTTATGCTTGAATAAACAGTGTTTGTTTTGATGTAGACAGTACCTTTTTTCATTCAGCTTTCACTTCGATTTTGTCTAGTCGAGAAATTTTGTGGTTATTCAATTTTATTGTGCTATAGGCTGTTGACATGGTGGATCAGGCACATGGTCATTAAATATTGCGCCGCTTGTAACAGTAAAAAGTATCTTTCATCTGTCAGAGCAGAGTTACTCAATACTACCTTTTCTGTCTTCCATGGCACCACCTCACTTTCTGAAACATAGCAACTCTTGGCGACATTACCCCACTTGAGATTACCAAAAAAGAGTCAACAGTGAATAGAAACAAAGCTGTAACTTGTTTATCGGAAGTCAACCTATGAATCCTGACGTTCACTGGTTCTTGAAGGGATCATGACATGCAGTGTGATGAGTGTGCTGCTCAAAAGTAATTGAGTGTGATAACTTTGTCTGATAATTGTTTGGATTTAGGGGCCCATTTCGTAAGTAGTTGGGAGGTTTTAATGTTCCGTCTTGCGCCATAATACTTTCCAACCATATAGGGTTTATAGTCAGAAATACATGCAGAAGAAATTCACTCGGCTGCTGCCTGGGCTTAAGATATTTCTAAAAGGGCAAAAATGCTTGTAGGCTTCTTCCTCTCGACTGCCTCGGGAGTTGGGGAGAAAGCATCTCGAAGCCCAGCTTGTGCAGATTTTACCGATGTTCTTAGGCATGTCCAGTGGTAAAACTGTTGTGCCATTTCTGCCAAACTGCACAAGAACAAATAACCTGCTTCATGCTGCTCCAAAGACTGTATTTGTGCACGATTTGCGTCATGTCTGCACCAAAAGAGAGCTGTTCTTGAAAAGGAAACTGAAAGGGGCGATGCAACAATGTTTGTACTTTGTGCAAATACCGCTTAGAATGGATCCCTGGCATTAATTACCTGTGAAACACCTGTTCGTTTTTCACCACAGGCATTCGAATTCGCAGAAAAAATGAGAGGAAAACGAGCACCGTTCACCCCCTCAACTCGCAGCCAGAACAAGTGGCCACGTGATCTAGAGCCGATTATATGCCGCCAATGTTGATCATAGCCACATGCTGGGGTTGGCAAGGCACAGGACATGCACTGAGTTCCAGACATTGTTATGGTTGGGCTATTGTCGTCATTGCAGCGATTGGACACGGGCCACTACCTGAATGCTTCTCGAGATATCGACTATCACGAGCCCAAATCACGACTATCACGAGCCCACGCTATGCTCGGGTCTAATCTATGAGCCGCATTAAAATAGTATCGTCACTGGGCAATACTGCAACCGCCCAGCTACGTCATCCAGTTTCACGAAGGAGATATTGAATGTATGAAAACTATCTCTTTTGTTTTTGAAATTACACCGCAACAAAGGAGTTTCTTGGCCAGCGGTGTTGCGTGCGAGGATTCTGGAGTCCCACTAGTGCCAGTAAGCCCGTGTAAAGTGAAAAACATTCCAATTGAATATCGTTGCACCGCCCCTTGAAAGTGCCTGGCACTTGGCATTGTTGACAATGCTAATAAAAATTTAAAAAAAAAGTATTTTTGTTTTGTCTTGTTTTAGCACGATGTTTGAAGAGTAGGGTTGGATGAATATTCTAATGGTAGCTTTAAAGAATATGCTATTTGATATTCGCTTAAAAATTAACTGCGATATTCATACTTCTCGAAGTGTTGATCGCGGCGGGTTAATTCCCTTGAGTGCGCTTCTCCTCAACCACCGGTGTCATGTGGAGAAGCAATAGTTGCGGAGCTAACACCACGATCTCGCGACTTACTTTGCCGCAGCGCAGCCTTGTGCTTAGGTGACAAACACACCTTCAAAGCAGTATGGTGCATACGCGCGCCTTGTGTATTAAAATAAAAAGAGGAAACATTGTGGTTGTTGATATTTAGGTTCTTAAAATTTTAACTGTGACTATTATGCAAGGGTATATGTTAGGCAGCGATGTTCTAACAGCCTGTGTTCATTATTTCTGCTTGTTTTATTTTTCTTTTTAATTCACAATTTAAGAGAAAATATTTGCATATAGCAAGAATATTTATAAATCCCCTCAATGGGGTATGGTTGGGCTCCTTTATAGGTTTAATTTTATGTCAAATCTGTCGTTTACTTGCCACCTCAATATAGGTATTGGCCTTTCTGAGGCCACAGTCTATAAATATAGTTAGATTCATTTTAACAGAGCTTATAAGTGGGCAATTAGAAGCTTGGGAACAATCTTTGAGAGTTCAGCTGAATTTTCGTTTAAGCGTGGTACAAGAGCAGTGAAAGGCGTGGAGAGAGGCGCAGGAACTATTTAATATTCAATTAAAAAATATTCGACCAAAACCGCAATACATTTTCAATTTGCCTCGAACCCAAAATCCATCATTTGCGCATGCCTAACTACTACAAAGTAGTGTGAGACACATTCAACGCAAAAGTGTCCGTTTGATGTCGAACTGGTGACATTTACGTCACCGTGACACAAATCCTCCAAAGTAGCCGAAAACATTTTTTTATGTCAAACACAGACCAAAGATGCCATCGGTACTCCTAATAGATTAATTGTGACATCTGCCAAATTACCAGCGTATGAATGTTCAATAAATAAATATTTTCTGCGGCCAGTCCCCCTGTAGGTATGACACCTTAAATAGTCTCTCAACACCCCAACAACTGCATTTTTTTTCCACATGCAAACTTTCAAAGGAATTTCATCAAATTTTCTGACATGACAGCTCGAAATTGTCTGGTGCAAGACTGCTCCAAGACCTGTTGTTTTCTGCTACAAGATCTTCTCCAAATCGGCACTTACCAGTTTCACCACTCCATGTCTAGCAGCTTCCTTAGAAGGCCCCTTGCGTACCGAAGCAAACTGTCGTGTTTAATATAATAATAATAATTTTTATTTGCACTAATTGCAATACCCACTTGGCAGCGTGCAAGGCTAGGCAGAAAGGTTGAGACCCTTATAGGTGCGCCTGCTAGCCCGCCGTCAAGTACATATGCTGGGTGTAGAATGGTGCGTAGTCACCTCCCAGTTTTACCAAAATCAGAGGACTGACACTGACAAATGAGACGTCTGCGACTCGGGAAGTCGCCTGGGTTGTTTCAGCCTTCGCAGATACGTTCAAAGATTCTTGTTGTACCCTATCAAAATTGTTTGATAGGGTACATCGTTTTTAGAAATGGCAATGTACCATAGTCGGCAAATTCTAAGATATACCCAACTGTTTGTCGTTGTGCATCACACTTGCAGTGGCAGGCCATGTGCTCAAAGCTAGGAGCAGGGCAGATGAGGGCGATCTTCCCCTCCCCTGAAATTCAGCCGACCCCATAGTATGCACAGGCATTTTGACGACCCATTTTAACGGTTCGGGTTGAGGGCTTTCGGTCTAGTTCCGGGGAGCAAAAATAATGGTTTGTGCCGCTATATATTGAGAATATGTTTCCCACGTTGATTTGGCAGTAGGCACTATTTCAGCCATGACATTATAGTAACTATTATGCTGTGTAATTTTTTTATCATTCCTACAATTCACTTTTATTTTCAGGTACCAATAATAATGAATGGCGTTATTTAATTTCGACAAAACAGTAATATAACATCTAGATTAAAATCCAAAATGTTGTGTTTCTACTATTCAACATATATTTGTTTACCTCAGCCAAGTATATTTTCGCAGAATCGAGAGGTTGCCACTAAGTGGTAACTCGCCTAACATACCCTTGATTGGTTCAACTTTGTGTCGCAGTATTAAAGGTTGAATGGTAGGCGCGCTCTTGAACTACAGAATTAATTACAGTGTATAAAATCGTGGAATGGGCACATATTCACCATAAAAGAGTATCCTTTACCCCCTCAAATTGATAAAGGCTGCTTTTTTTCCCTTTCTTTTTTCTGCGACCGCCATTGCATAGAGAGAGAAACAATTATGCACAATTTGTAAGTTATGGACGTCACGAATTAACACTAGTCTTTATTTTTCCTAGAAGTGCAAAAATCTTTGCATTGTTATATTAAGAAGCTGCATTATTACCTCGACAGAGACAGTCAGTATATAAATCGCGTTTTTCTCAATACGAGAGGTGACTTTGGCTTCTGGTTTAACTGTGAACCAGATGCCAAAGTCTCAAAACGTGGCGTTACCCGATTAAAAAAGAAATATATATAAAAGAGGCTTTCGGAAATTTTAGACGAGCAAATGACAACGATACTCGAAAACGGCGTCTGCTTCCGGAGAATGGACCCCAGTTTCATTGGAAAGTTTCAGAACAGCTTTTTTAACTTCTCAATCTGGTGACACAAAGTTCTGGAACTTTGTCGTCCAGTCTGAACTGTTAGCGTTGCATTTGGGCTAAGACAAAGTTCGGCTATCCATATTTTATTTTTGATATGAAGAAAACTGGGTTTTTCTTTTGCAATTCCCTTGTACATACATGTGTGGTAGAGTGATAGTATCAAATGTGATATAGTCAGAGGGATGTGTTGGTTATGAGATTTGTTTCTTAAAAATTAGGAGTCGCACGCACCTGGTACAAGCAGTGACGGG